GTCGCGGTTGCTTGGGGGCAAGAGGGATGTGGATGAGTTCCTGAGATGTATGGGTCATGAGCGTGGCACGTGCCTTACCAGTAGCCACTGAATTGTATACTTCTTGGTGTGGGGAGCAGATCACATTTCCAAAGATTGAAATAACTGAGAGTGATGCTCCAACAGCAAGATTACAAAGACCAAGACCAAAAACTACTACAGTCCTCCAGGTGGCCAAAACACACCACCAGGGCTGAGCACCCCTTCTGGCAGGACGCGGGCAGAGTTCCGTTGCTGAAGTGGCTATCACATGCCTCACAGCTATGCTCGATGTTGCCAAGGTGCTTTCCAACGTGGTCACTGGCATGGCCCACCTCGGAGATACCGTGTCTTCGGGCTCAGACCACCGCCATACAGCGAGGCATGCGATTTTTGAGTGCTCCTAAATTCACAGCTGTCAAGTCAATTCTGACTCAGGGCGACCCTATAGGACTGAGGAGAATCGCCCCATGGGTTCCACGGTTGTGAACCTTTAGGGTAGCAGACTAACTTAGCTTCTCTCTCCCTTAAGAGCAGCTGGGGTGGTGGTGGGGGTGTTCCAATCACTAACCTTTCAGTTAGCAAAACCCAACACTTAACCCGTGGCACCACCAGGGCTCCTATTCTGGTTTCACAGTGCCTACAAAAGTTCTAGTTACATTAAACTGCAGTCTCTTCAAAGAGCCAGGTGGAGCGGTGGTTATGTGTTGGACTGCACACTGCAGGGTCAGCAGTTCAAACTCAGCTGTTCCACGGGAGAAACGATGACGCTCTCTACCCCCATACAGGGTCCATGTCTCGGCAACCCGCAGGGCACACCTCCTATCCTCTAGGATTGCTATGAGTCATCATCAGCTCAACGGCAGGGGGCTGTTTTGTTTTTTACCCAAGGTCCTGCAACTCCCACTAAATGATTGGGCGAGACTGCAAATTGGGTGTGTGCAACATTAAGAGAGAGAACTGATCGGTTTTCCTGACCCCTGGAAGTAGCGGCAGAGAGCAAAACCTCGAGGCCCTTGGAAGAGAACGTCCAAGATCTGTCAGAAGCAGCAGAGGCCCACCGAGCCCAGATGCACCTAAGCATGGGGCTCAGCGGTACAACCCAAGACTGTGGGCTATCTCTTCCTCATCTGGGCCCAGACTATGGGGCTGTGGAACAGATTGACAGGTGGGCTGGCTTCCTGGTGCCTAGAGGCACAAAGACCCAGGGGCTCTGTGGCTGAGAGACTGAGAACAGGAAAAACGTGGCTGCTGACTGAGGAGACCAAAGACTGTATCCTGTTAGCTGATCCTGACTTGTGGTAACTTAGTAACGTCCCTCAAAAGCTCCCTTCATTGTATTTTGTCTGTGAGTCTGTGTGGCTACTGCAATAAACTATCAAACCCAGCACCGAAGCAGAGTGCAGTGGAAGGAACGGTTGGTGTCAGAGGAGGTTAAGGATGGAGCATGGAGGCACGTCTGACCCGAGTCTCGTGTCAACAAGGAAGCCTGGGCAGCTCAGAAAGGGCCTCCCATGCCATCTACCGCAAGTAACATTCAAACCACACCAAACCGGACTCATGGCCATCAAGTCGATGCCAACTCATAATGACCCTATAGGACAGGGTAGAACGGTGCGTGCGTGCAGGCTTCTGAGACTACCTTGTTACAGGAGTAGAACGCCCTACTTTTCTCCCTTGGTGCAGCTGGTGGTTTGGAACCGTTGACCTTGCAGTTGGCAGCCGAATGCATAAGCACTATGCTACCAGGGCTCCTGAATGTAACATAGACGGTTTAATTCAAGAACACAGATAGATAGCAGTGCAATTCAAAAATAAAAGTATTCAAACTGTGTAGTTTTTCAGTTTCCCAAAGTGAACAGAGCACAACCATAGCAAGGGTAACCACAACTCAGATCAAGAGATAAAGAAAAAGAAGGCTCCATCATGAGAATGGCCACAATGGGGCACAGAGACAGGAAGTGAGCACATGTTGTTGGGAAAATGGTGCCCTAACCAGCCTTGCTGGACACAGTATTGCCACAAACCTTCAATTGGTTAAAAAAAAAAAGTAGATGCAAAGCACAATAAAACACATGGCCCTAACACGAGGTCCAAGAGTACAGCTATTTAGGGTTATTCAGGCACTCAGGGAAGAGTCCAGGTGCTCTTTACCAACCAACCCCAAAACAAGCTCACTCACTGGGGGAGTTGGTGACTGAAGAGGTGAGGTGCTGGGCACTCAATGCATCAAGGGGGCACATTAGCATGGAGCGCCATGGAGGGAGGAAGTGCTGGGGGAGAGTACGTGTAGGGGACGGTGCCCACTGTGCCTCAGCTGGCACAGGAGCACACTGATAGTCTACCTTGGCCAATGGGGAGCATATTAGAGCTGGCTCTTGGAGGGACCCAATTCCAATTGGAAGTCTGTCAATCAAGGAGGAGGATGACCAGGGAATTCAAAGAACTCTATGGCCCAACCTTCAGTTGGCCAGAGACCACTAACCTGGGCAACCCATGGCATCAAGGCTGGGGCTGAAGCTGGTTCATCTCCAGGATCAGCCTGATGGGGATCGGGGCCTTCTACTATGGCCTGGTGCCATGCACCGGAGCCTGGGGCCTAGGTGTGCTGGGCAATACTGCCTGCGTGAACTCTAAACAAAACAGTAAGGATGAGCACAAGAACTATGAAACGTCTGGGGTCGATGGTGGTGATGGTGGTACAACTCTTTCTTAATATGATTGAACTAATCTTGAATGGTACAGCATGGGAATTATATCCCAAACTGTGAAAAAAAGAACCAACCAAACAACAACAACCCGTCACCATTGAGTTGATTCCGACTATAGGACAGAGTAGAACTGCCCTATGGGCTTCCCAAGCTGTAAATCTTGATGGAAGCAGAAAGCCTCCCACCAAGCCATCAGGGAATCTTGTATCCACCTAAGACTGTAATAACTACTTCCGTGATGCTAAAGACAGTGGAGACATTTCCCAATCAGAAACCCAAATTAAGATTCGTGGAAGGAGACGCCCAGGCACTTGAGGCGGGGATCACCTTGGGGATGGCATGTGCTGAGAGGCCTTCAAAACGTGTGTGCAAAAATGGACTGAAGAGAGAAGGTATTTTTCGCAACTTGTAAAGCCCCCCTCGTTATTTCTAAACGTTTTCTACCATCGGGGAGCATTTCCCCTGATCTCTCTTGGCTGGCTCTTCCTTTACCTTGCATAGGATGCCTTCCTGATGGTATTCTGCATATGCCCAAATTTCTCCACAGCCACCCGAGTCCACTTGCCCAGTTCTTACCATGGTGCTGGATTTTCTACTGAATGGCACCTTGCACTGGTTTCTAACTTTTTTCATTCGTGGGGGCTGACAACAGTTGGGTTTCTTAAATAAAGAGCTTTAAAAAAGTGAGCTTTTTCAGGTCTGACCTCAGAACATAAGCTCCCCAAGGGCAGGGTTTGGGGCTGGGATGCCCAAGCTTCCAGGACGCCACCTGGCACATGGTAAGAACTCAGCAAGTGATTTGCTGGATGAGTGGGCGGGCACTTTCATTGTTCTGTGGCATGTGGCACCTGCTAAGGAAGCACAGGCACAGCCGGCCACATCTTGACACACTCACCTCCAGTTTCTCCTGGTTTGGTTCCACTTGTTCTGCTTTTGACATGCCTTCCTTTCCCAAGGGGGCCTCCGCCATCCTCCCTTCCTGCTCCACACTCTCGATGTAACCTTAGCCCTTCCCAGGCTTCAACTCCTCACAAAACTCACTATCGTCGAGTTGATCCTGACTTGCAGCATCAAAGGGCTCCGAGTTGCTATAAATCTTTATAGGAGCAGACTGCCTCGCCCTTCTCCCTTCGAGCAGCTGGTGGGTCTGAACTGCAAACCTTCTGGTGAGTAGCCCAACATGTAACCCACTGTGCCACCAGGATTCTTTTGACACACACTAAGGAACCCCAGATTGAAAGGCAGATCTACGTCATTCTCTTGTTTAAACAAAACAGAACAGACAACAGGGATGATGCTCCATCCACTCCCACTCCCCACCCCCAAAAAATTCACAGTCAATCGAGTCAATTCCTGATTCATAGAGACCCAATAAGACATAAGTCAGTGTGTCTCAACCTTCCTCATGCAGTTCATACAGTTTCTCATGTTGTGGTGACCCCCAACCATAAAATTACTTTCGTTCCTACTTATAACTGTAATTTGCTACTGTTGTGAATCAGGTGACCCCTGTGAAAGGGTCGTTCAACCCCCAATCGTGACCCACAGGTTGTGAACCGCTGACATGCTGAATAGCCCCATTGGGTTTCCCAGACTAACTGTTTACAAAGGAGCAGCCAGCCAGCCTCATCTTTCTCCCCACGGAGCAGCTGGTGGATTCATACCGCTGACCTCGTGGTTAGCAGCTCCATGCATTGACCGCCCCCACCCACTGCCACTCCCACAGATAAAGGCCAGCCCTGTCCACTTTCGGCATGGTGCTTGCTCCTCAACCCCCTAACATGGAAAGGAACCGATGCTCCAGCCCCACAGAACACTTCGTTCCCCAAGCTTCACGGTGCCAGTGCTTCCCTATTGGCCCCACTTGGAAGAGTCCTCCGCCCTGCTCCACCCCCAGGTGAAATCCAGAACCCAGACAAAGGCCACCTTCTTTGGAAGTCTTTCCTGCGCTCCATTCAGACAGAACGACCCCCTCCCACCTGTGGTCCCCTCACCTTTTTCTCACACCCCCAGTAACAACTGTGTCACAACACAGAGCCTATTCCCTCTTCAGCGGGAGGGGCCCACGATGGCTCATCATCACAGCTCCAGCCTCTCGTTCAGTGTGAACTGAGTCTTAGGGCACTGCAGCACCCTCTCAACTGAACACACAAACGGATGGCTGCATTCATAGTAGTTAAGAGAACTGCCATAGATGTCCAGGGAGCGGGACCCATGGGAGCAGGGGCTGTGGGAGCCCTCCCCATGCAGCAGGGAGTAGCAAGCAGTTACCTCCGGAGATACACAGTTTCTTCATCTTCTGTGTTACAGAACTTATGGGCGTGTTTGGCAGCATCAATCACTCGAGACCGGTCCCGGGGCCTCATGGGTAACTTCTCTAACTGACAGTCTGAAGGAATGGAAAAAGATTTGTCATCAGAGTCACTGAAAAACACTCAGGGGGCAATCAGAAACTTTGGCCAGGTCCTTGGCTGGCTGGCTGGCTGGCTCTCTCTCAACCATAATTGCTACCTATGCTTAAGGGAAGCCTAGCACTGCATTTGACACCTAAAAAAGGACTTGGTGTCAGGAGGCCTGGCGTTTTGTTCTGGCTCTGTTGTGACCCTTGTGCTCCCTGATGTGTGGTTCCCTGGGACTTTGGGAAAGGGCTGGGAGTTCTGACTCACTGTGACCCCACGTGCGGAGTGGAACTGTGCCATTGGGGTTCTCCAGGCAGGGCCTTGCAGAAGCACATCCCCTGGCCTGTCTGCCAAGTGCTTAACTGGAGGTGCTACCCAGGGATGCAGAGTTGAATGATAAGTGAATCATACTACTGGAAAATGCCTTCCCAGCACTGTGGTTCAAAAAAGAAAATTTTAATGACTATTTCTAGGCAAAGTTGTGGGACACTTGGTTTGTGTTATACTGAATGCATTTGGGGCGGGGAGGGCTGAGCAAGCATTCCTTCAATGAGGAAAGCATTGGGAAAGGAAGCGAGGTGCTAAGGGGAGAGAGGGCTGATGGGATACAATAGAATGACCCACCTCCGTTGGGGTTTTCATCTGACACCCGACAAGAAACAAATTCAAGACAGGTGGAAACCAGATGAAAAAATGGTATCATGTAAATGCAGGAGTTCACGGGCTACAGGGAAAGTCAAGTGATTGGAAAAGGACTGGGATTATGGAGGACAGCTAGGACAGATGGAGAACACTAGACGGGTGACCCAGCTGTGCCTTTACTCTTCCCAGCAACCTGCTTATGTCTAAGGTGAGGACATTGATGTTTGGGAAGGGCACGGGATTTGCCAGGCATCTAGTTAAGCAGTAGCACAGGTATTCCCATCCAACTGTGGTGCACTCAAAGCCCATGCAACTTCCATCACACCTCTTTGCCATTCATTCGTGCGTTCAACAAATACGGGGCTTCCCAAAGTTCATGGGAAAAAATGGAATCTTTACAAGACAATGGAATGTTCCCATGAACTTTTTGTGGCATCCCCTCCCCCCTGTCCCGATTGCTTAGAGCCCTTGATGAACCAGGCCTGGTTTTAATACTGAGCAAGCGATTCAATAGAGCAGAACCACAACACAGAAAAGGTCCCTAACTGATACATAAATGGATAAATAGAAAGAAAGACAAGATGTCAGATAGTGATGACTGTGAACAAAAAAATAGGGAGAGTCAGACAATAAAGAGTGATTACCTAGTAAAGTAATTGAGTGCTACCAAGAAAAGAGTAACAGAGATGCTGTTTCTGACAAGCTAGTCAGGGGAGAGTTCTCAGAGGAAGTGACATTTAAGCAGAGATCTGAGGGAACAGTGTGTGGAGTCAAAGAAATACAAAGTCCCTGGGGCAGAAACATTTTCTGATGTGGTGGAGCGAAAGCAAGGCAGCCTTATGAGGCTTAAATGGAAAAAGCACAGGAGAAGAGTGTTAGGAGCTGAAGGCGGAGAGGTGGCTAGGGGCTTGATCACGTGGGGTCTTGGTACTGACTTTTTATTGTAGGTGTCAGAGGCCCCTGAGATCAGGAGAACTAGATGGTGCCCAGTTACTACTACCAGCCATTCTGATCGGGGCCTCAATAGATGGTCTCTTATACAAAGGAGGAAAAAATGTGGAACAGAACTGAAATCCTTTAAAGTCTAGACTTGCTAGATCAGCTGAGCCCAGAGGACTACCTGAGACTACTGACCCGGAGACACTCTTTAAAGCTTAAATCTGAGCTCACCTTTTAGTGAAACCACAGAGTGGCACACAAAATAAAGAATATTATCCATAAGGTACTCTGTTTAAAAACAAAAAAAACCCTATGTAACTCCAAAAGGTCATTTGCTCTAAAGCAAAAAGAGAGAATAAGGGGACAAGGAGACTAGACTACTGGTAACCAGACAACCAGAATGTAATTCAGGAGAATGTTGACACACTGTGAAAAATGGCATGTCAAACAAAATGGCATGTCACAGAACCATCTGTACTGAAGTTGTTCAATGGAAACCAAATGCATTATGTAGAAATTAACTAAAAACATGGCACACTTTTATTAAAACAAAAAATATTGGTTTCACACACAAAAAACCTCGGGGAGGGAGAGATGTTATAGGACGTCACTGGTTTTGAACAGGAAAGTAACTACAGCTGTTATGTGGTACATGGACTAGCGAACACAAGCAGCCTCTTGCAGTGATCCCAGTGAGAAATGAGTGCAGGTGGTAAGGAGGGGTCACATTCTCGATCGGGTTTCAAGAAAGCACCTGCAGGATTTGTAGATGGACTAGATGGGCAGGCACACAGTGAGGGAGAAGTCAAAACTGACCCAGATTGTGGATTTGAGCGAGGAACCCGTTCTGAGGGCAGAGTAGGAGGGATTGAGTCCAACTGTGCACAGGATCTACTACACAGCCAAGTGGAGATTTAGTTAAGCCAGCAGTGGGAACTTACAGCAAGATCCACATGAATAATGCGCACTTGGAAGTCGTTGAGTCCGCCTCAGGAGTGAGGACAAAGTGTGAATAGATTGGTGCAGGCAGAAGCAGGGTTTTGTGATGCCTAACATGCGAGACACGAAAAGGAGCCTGGTAGTGAGGGGGTGGGGGTGATGGAGGAGGGTAAAATCTGAGGCAGGAAAAAGAAACCATAACAGTGTGGAGTCCGGGACACAAAAACCCGGTTACCGTTAGGAGGGTGTGATCCACTGTGTTAACTGCCACTGGGGGGAGGGAGGGATTACTATGACAATTGGCCGTTGCTAAGGACTGGATTTGTAGCCTTAACAAGTGCGATTCAGGTAGTGAGGCAGGAAGCAATGTCTGTCTGAAGAAGGGTCAAAAGGGTATGGGAAGGATGGCAAAGGGCAGCTCAAACCGGCAACACTTTTGAAGTGTTCCCTTTTGAGAGTGGTCTGGCTATAACAGAACCGGGAGGTTAAGCAAGGAAGTTGCCCTGGAGGAAAGCGAAGCGGTGTCGGGAGACTGCTGGCAGACAGGGAAAGACCACCCATCTTTAGTAAACAGCCGGTTCCCAGCTAGCGGCCAGAGGAAGTTCGCCCTCAAACCCCCCAAGTTTGGCTCCTCGCAGACGTGTCCCCGCCCGCCCGCCGCCCTTCCCGACTATTCACCCAGCACCAGGACCATCTGGCCGCACAGGCAGTAGTAGACGTGCAGGGGCTTCTCGCCATCGTCGTACTCCTCCCGGTCCCGGGTGTCGGAGCAGACGACCGAGCGGGACACGACTTTCGGCATCGTTTAGAAGAGATACCCGGAAACCAGATGCTGAGAAAGAGAGACGCACGAAAATGACGCAACACCCGCGTTCCACTCCCTTTATCTCTGGTTCCCTCGTCACTTGTGGGCAGTGACCGTGGACTTCCGGGAGATACCATTAGGCTGACATGCACGGGGGTGTCCCTGAGCTGCCCAGGAGTTAGCCTGGACTGCGCTTATTCCGGGACACCCTTTTGTATTCATTCATTCAGAGCTTAGCTGTGCCTCTAAATAAGATTTTTGTTTTTACGGCTGTCTTGAAGGATGAATAGTATCTAATGAAGTAGAGGCATCTCTCATTTTTATTTTTAATAGGTAAATTTTTTTTAACATTTTATTAGGGGCTCATACAACTGTTATCCCAATCCATACACACATCAATTGTGTAAAGCGCATTTGTACATCGTTTCTCAAAACATTTTCTCTCCATTTAAACCCCCGACATTAGGTCCGCATCTCTCATTTTTAATTGCGATCTAATTCATAGAACTTTTTTAAACGTTCATTCACTGGAGTTTGTTTGTGTGTGTAGATTCATCAAATTGTGCAGCCATTACCACTATCTAATTCTCGAACATTTTCATCTCAACTTCCCCAAAGAAAAATTCCAACCCCAATAGTAGTATGGAAGAGTAGTCAGTCTCCACTCCAACACGTCTCCCACCCCCTGGAGACCACTCTGTGTTTCTATGAAGGGACCCTGGTAGCGTCATGGTTACAGGTGCGGCTAAAGACTTCAAGGCCGGCAGTTTGAAACCCCCAGGCACTCTGCAGAAACAGGATGAGGCTTTGTAGCCCCGTCAAGAGTGCCTGGGAAATGCCCAAAGGGCAGTGCTGCCCTGTCCTATAGCTTAGGGTCGTCCAGAGGTGGAATGAACTCCATGGCGATGAGTTTGGATACCCCCCACCCCATCTTTGAACAATTTATTCTTTCTGGTACTCTTTGTTTCCCCCCAACCTCCCCTGCCATGCCCCTGGATAATTATTCATTCGATTCCTGTGTTTATCGATGTTCTTATCCTGGATTTCATGTACCGAAAACCAGACAAAACGAAAACAGGAAACAACAACAAATAATGACAAAATTAAACAGAAAAACCTCAATCAAAAAGGAGAAACTACTAAAAACTGAAACAACTTTAAAATGGGTCAAAAGGGATATCGAATGGCAAGGTGTTCATTGTACCCTCACTGCCTCTGCTACAATCCACTTTACCATGCTCTCTGTCTGCTACGAAAGCTATTCGCACCCATGGACTCGGTCGTCGAGACGATAGACTATGTGGGGACCTGGAAAATGGATGTCGGGCATCCACTATCATGCATAGCTTTGTGCAACCAGGTATTCACAATTTACATTCTGATACTGTTCCCTCCTCCAAATTTGGATTTATTATTCACAATTCTTGGATAGCACAAGCTGGTATGCTTCTTCCATGTGGATTTAGCAGACACCTTATTTAGATGGCTGCTTGTTTCTTTGTTTTCTTAATATTTTTATTGGGGGATCTTACATCTCTTTATCACAATGCATACATTCTTCCAGTATGTCAAGCACATTTGCACATACGCCACCATCATCTTTTTCAAAGCAGTCTCTTCCCATTGAGCCCCTGATATCAGCTCATTTCTTCCCCCTCCCTCCCTTACCCGCCCTCCCTCAGGAATTCATCATAAGTTATAGACTATTTTTTCCACATCTTACACTGTCCTCTTTCACCCCTCACCCACTTTGCCGTAGTTCGTCCCCCCTGGGAAGGGGTTCTAGCTTGATCCTTGTGATTGATTCCCCCTTTCTCCCCCCACCCTCCTCTAATCCTCCTGATACCTCTACTCTCCTTGTTGACCCTAAGGGGTTTATCCCCCCTGGATTCCCTATTTCGGGCTCTTATCTGTAGCAGTGTGCATGCTCTGCTCTAATCTGATTTGTAAGGTAGAATTGAGGTCATGATAGTGGGGGGAAGGAAGCACCAGATTACTAGAGGAAAGTTATATGTTTCATCGGTGCTATACTGCATCCTCACTGGCTCATCTCTTCCCTGTAACTCCTGTGAGGGGATGTCCAATTGCCTACAGATGAGCATTGAGTCTCTGAGTTCGGTTTCTCCTACGCTGGACATTTCATATAAAGGAAATCATACAGTATATGACCTTTAAAAAAACAAAACTTCTTCATTTAGCATGACGTTTTCAATGTTGCTTCATGTAGCACCTATCAGTACTTGACTCCTTTTAAAAAAAAATCATTTTATTGAGGGCTCGTACAACTCATCACAATCCATACATCCATCCATTGTGTCAAGCATATTTGTATATTTGTTGCCCTCATCATTCTCAAAATATTTGCCTTCTACTTGAGCCTTTGGTATCAGCTCCACATTTCCCCCCTCCCTCGCTGCTCCCTCCTCCCTCACAAACCCTTGATAATTTATAAATTATTTTTTCATAACTCGCACTGTCCGACATCTCCCTTCACCCACTTTTCTGTAGTCCAATCCCCAGGGTGGAGGTTATATGTAGATCTTTGTCATCGGTTCCCCCTTTCCACCCCATCCTCCCTCCACCCTCCTAGTATTGCCACTTTCACCACTGGTCCTGAAGGGATCATCTGTCCTGGATTCCCTGTGTTTCCAGTTCCTCTCTGTACCAGTGTACATCCTCTGGTCTAGCCAGATTTGTAAGGTAGAATTGGGATAATGACAGTGGGCGCTGTTGGGGGTGGAGAGGGGAGGAAGCATTTAGGAACTAGAGAAAAGTTGTATGTTTCATTGTTGCTACACTGCACCCTGGCTAGCTCGTCCCCTCCCCGAGACCCTTCTGTAAGGGAATGTCCAGTGGCCTACATATTAGGTCTTGGGTCCCCAATCTGTACTCCCCATCATTCACAATGATTTGATTTTTTGTTCTTTGATGCCTGATACTTGATCCCTTTGGCACCTCGTGATCACACAGGCTGGTGTGCTTCTTCCATGTGGACGTTGTTGCTTCTGAGCTAGATGGCCACTTGCTTACCTTCAAATCTTTAAGACCCCAGATGCTATATCTTTTGATAGCCAGGCACTCTCAGCTTTCTTCACATTTGCTTATGCACCCATTTTGTCTTCAGCGATCATGTCGGGAAGATGAGCATCACGGAATGCCAATTTAATAGAACAAAGTGTTCTTGCATTGAGGGAGTACTTGAGTGGAAGCCCAATGTCCTTCTGCTACCTTAATACTAAGCCTATAGATATATGCACATGGATCTTTTTCCCCATCCTCATCTCTATATTTACATATGTACATGCCTTTATTTAGACCTCTATAAATGCCCTTTGCCTCCTAGTGCTTTCCTCTATTTCCTTTTACTTTCCTCTTGTCCCACTACCATGCTCAGCCTTCATTTGGGTTTCAGTAATTCCTCCCAGTTACATTACCCTTGATCAAGCCCTACCAGGCTTCCTACACCTTCCTCACCACTGATTTTGAATCACTTGTTCCCTTGTCCCTGGGCTTGTCAACACCACTTCCTTTCCCCTCCCTCCCACTCCCTCATGTCCCCCCGGAACTGCCGGTGCTGTTGTTTTCTCCTCCAGATTGTTCATCCAGCCTATGTTACTTAGACAGACCTGTGGAGATAATAATATGCACAAAAACAAGACAGAGCAAAACCAAGCAACAAAAGAAAACAAAACTTCAACAACAAAACCAATATACAAAAAAGAAAGAAAGAAAAGCCTGTAGATAATTCAAGGACTATTTGTTGGTCTTTAGGAGTGTTTTCCGGTAGAGTCTGATGGGGTGCCACTCCCTGGCCCCAAAGTCTATCCTTGGTGTTCCCTGGGGACTCTGTTGCTCTGTTCCCCTTGTTGTTCTGTTGCACACCCTTAGTGTTTTGCCTCGGTGTGGTGGGATCAGATCGGGCACCAGTGTTTCCAGTGTTCTTCCCTGAAGGATCATGGGTCAGTGAGGGATGTCGTGTCTCATAGTGGGGCTGGCAATGTGGTCCACTCTGTGGATTGGCTGCTCTGAACGGGAATATCGTCCTCAAGGCTTGGTGGGTCAGGATGTGCTCCACTCTCACTTCCTCCCTCTTCATTTCCTCTCGTGTGCTCTGATCAGACATGTCCCTCTCCCTGAGCTGCAGCTTCAGTACTGTCCTCTGAAATAAATTGTTCTGGGGGGAAGGGCAGGTATCCATGTAGTTGGGATTGGGGCGGGCTCCTCAAACATGGCTCCTTTTTAATGCTTAGATAATATTCCATTGAACAGGATGTACCACTTTATGCATTCACCAGTTAGTGAACATTGAGATTATTTCCACTTATTGATAATTATTTAAGAATCTGTTATGAAAAATCACGTACAAGTTTCTGGGAAAATATTAGTTTTCAGTTCTTTTGTATATAAACCTAGAATGTAATTTCTAATGGGTAAGTCACATGGGTAAGCATTGAACGGATAACCTTATGGTTGGTGGTTCAAATCCACTAATTGCTCCTCTGGAGAAAGATGAAGCTACTGCTCCTTTGAAGATTTCTAACCTCGGGAACCCTACACAGGGTCACGATGAGCCAGCGTCGGCTCAATGGCGGTGGGTTTGGATTTATTGTGGGTCGTATTTTTTGTTTGTGCAGAGATGAAGTTAACACTGAAGATTCCAAGTCCCTTTCCATTTTACTTTTCCTCCTTTGTTGGTTGGTTGTTTTTTCTTAAGCCACTCAGACCCCCATTCAGGTTGGAGGGATATGAAATCTGTTTATTTTGGGGTTTTTAAGGAAACATGTTTCATGTCTAGAAATGAAATTCACAACAACATCCTATTAAACATTCCCACCCACATCCTTCTTCTCTCCCTCCGCCCCGCCCCCCTCTGTTTATTCTTTTGAGCAACTCCCAGTTTCCCAAAGTGGTCAAGCCATTTGCCACCCACTAGTGACTGCTGTGGGGTGACATGGTACTTCTTAGCGAGTTTGATGTGCATCAGAGGATATGGCTAATGATGACAAATGAGGTTGAACCTCTTTTCATGTAT